GGGCTGGGAAGTGATGGGCCAGCGGAAGGACAAGAAGATGGGAGGCTCTTTCTTGTCTGCCGAAGACGAGGCTGGCGTGGACTCTGGTCTAAAGAAGGAATTCCTGGCCTGCTGATGGACCCATAATTGGAACATGTGACATAATTATAGCAGGGTTTTTAGTGAATGTAGACAATGGTAGTTTTACGGGTTTTAGAATTTAGAGTTTTATTTAGTTTTAGTAGATTGACAACATTTTATTACATACATTTTAAGGGTATTGTTATTTGTGCTCCCTGGCCTAGTAATAAACTGTTTCTGACCAGACCTGCTTCCTCTCCGTGCCCTGGGTGTCTGACTCGCTTGCTCCCCCTATTTTAAAGAATCTTTCTTCTTAGCATGACATTCTGGCACGACTGCTTTTATGTCTGTTTGTTACAGGTACAATTGCTATAGTTGTCCCAAACCTTCTTAAGTACTACAACCCCCCCCCGTCTGCAGCGAGGGGGTTGTAAAAGTAGTGTTGGAACACACTGTGGTACCGCAACCTTGTGAGTATTATTTAAACTGTGCTGCAGAAAGTAGAGTGTTTTTAAAAATAACAAAAAAGAAATTAGCAATGGAAGAGAGGCATCAAAACTGATAAGAGTGTGCATCCTTCCACAGAGAAATTGAGAAGAAAGTCAGCGTGTCAGTGAGTCTCCTTCACTATTAAAAAGGCTCTGAGAAAATTCAGAAAACGCTAACTTGGAGGGCATCCTTCTTCTTAATGTTAACACTTTGAGATGTACTGTCACAGTAATGTGGTTTGTTTGATGATGGTGACACAGCAGTCTGTTTTCACAGTAAGTTACTTTATTTTAGTCTGCATGTTCTGCTTTTCGTGGTTGTTCTCGGAAACATTAAGACTGTGAAATGCAAGGCCTTCATTCAGTTTCTGTTCCTGTCACCTTGTTTTTCGTCTTGTTTTTGTGTCTCTTTGCATGTTGATCTCAAACAGATAAGAAACAAAATTAGAAATTAGCTTGAATTAGGACAGCAACGGATCATTGAGTAACAGGGGTGTGAATAAAAAGTATGACAACACTAAGCAAACTTGGGTTACAATGGCAGCAGTGAAGATGATGCTGTCATAGTTTAACATAGAGTCTGTCGACAGAAACACAGTGAAGATCAAAGAGGTGGAGCCGGGACTGGACTGGGTCAAAACATAGGTCCTGACATTTTAGGAACATATTATGTATATGTTTTATTGAGTTTGACAACTGATATTGAAATAGATTGTAATCAGGTCGGTAAAGCTGTTGTTCGATTAGTTACACTGCAGCATGTACTAATTAAAAAGCCAAACTTCAGCTATCAGCAGTGGTCAGATCTTAGAATTATACCTATATCATAACAAATGATCAGAGCAAATATTCATTATATCATTTCACGGGCAAAATTAAATTCCTTGCACGTAAATTCAACAATACAACTCAACAGCGGGCGCACAAATAAGCCATTGCACACACTAAAGTGTCTTCTTTGCAAGCGATGCTACAGTTTTACACCCCTGTGGGTAGCCCCACAGAGAGAAATACTGTTCACACTCATAAACTTATTGTTGACTTTTTGCAGGTGGAACCCAAAACAGTAATGCGATTCGTTCCTTTGATGGCCTTTTGATGGTGAAGGAAACTGTACTGACTGACACCTTTCTTTGAAATTTCTCTTTTTGTATAAATCTGAAATGTACATTATTATTTCGTTTTGTGTAACCTTGCCTTTTTTTAATCTGTGGCACTTCACCACTTAAGTTTGTATGATTTCA